GTTGGATTTGTGCTCAATCCTGGCTTAGAAAACCCAAAAACCACCAAAAAATTCCATTTTTTTGGGAATTCTGGCTGGATTTGAGGTCAATCCTGGCTCAGAAAACCCAAAAAACACCAAAAAATTCCAATTTTTTTGGAATTCTTGTTGGATTTGTGCTCAATCCTGGCTTAGAAAACCCAAAAACCACCAAAAAATTCAATTTTTTTTGGGAATTCTGCTCGGATTCCAGGTCAATCCCAGCTTAGAAAACCCAAAAACCACCAAAAAATTCAATTTTTTTTGGGAATTCTGCTCGGATTCCAGATCAATCCCAGCTTAGAAAAACCAAACCAAAAAAAATTCCAATTTTTTTTGGGAATTTTGCTCAGATTCGAGGTCAATCCTGGCTTGGAAAAACCAAAAAACACAAAAAGATTAAATTTTTTTGGGAATTCTGGTTGGATTTGTGCTCAATCCTGGCTCAGAAAACCCAAAAACACAAAAAAATCCAATTTTTTTTGGGAATTCTGCTTGGATTCCAGGTCAACCCCAGCTTAGAAAAACCAAACCAAAAAATATTCCAATTTTTTTTGGGAACTCTGCTCAGATTCCAGGTCAATCCCAGCTTAGAAAAACCAAAAACCACCAAAAAATTCAACTTTTTTTGGGAATTCTGCTCGGATTCCAGGTCAATCCCATTTAGAAAACCCAAACCAAAAAAAAAAATTCCAATGTTTTTTTGGAATCCCGCTTGGATTCGAGGTCAATCCCGGATTAGAAGAACCGGAAAAACCGGATCCGGGCTGGGATTTAACGAGCCGGGCTGGGATTTAACGAGCCGGGCTGGGATTTAACGAGCCGGGCTGGGATTCAATTCCTTGTTTTTTTTTTCCTCTCCTTAGGATTCACCCCACTTCATCTCCACGACCTTTCCGCGCTTCCCAATTGATGAAAAAACCGGGATAATCCCCCCAAAACCCCAAAATTCCTGGGATTTCCTCACCCACCCGACAAACCAAACCCAAGGAGATGCTTCCCAAGCTCTGCCCGTCTCCAAATCCCGGGAAAACCTTACGGATAAAAGGATAAAACCCCTCGGGGGGTGATGCCTCATCTCCCGGCCCTCATTCCCGAGGTTTTCCCGAGGAATTCCGCAGCATGGCGGAGCACCAGGAGCTGCTGGCCGAGATGCCGGCGGTTTCCCGGCTCAGCACTCCGGAAAGGCTCCGGCACGCCCAAAAACGCCGAGCCCAGCAGCTGAAAAAATGGGCCCAGGCCGAGAAGGAAATCCCGGGAATGCCGAAAGCGGCGGCGGAGAGGAAGAGGAGGAGGAGGAAGAGCGGCGGCCACGGCAAGAGGGTGACGTTCCCGGCCAACGTGCGGCTCCTGGAAGCGGCCGGCCGGCACGACGTCGAGGAAGGTGGGCGGATGTGGGAATTCCAAATTGGGGGAATGAGGAGGAGTTGGGGTTTTGGGGAGGTGCTGGAAGGGTGGGAATGGAGATGGGATGGTTGGGATGGCCGGGAATGCGGTGGGATCCTTGGAAGAGTTGTTGGGTGGTCGTGATTCCGTTGAGATCCTTGGGATTGCCTTTGGGATCCTTGGAAGTGTTGTTGGGTGGTCGTGATTCCGTTGAGATCCTTGGAATTGCCTTTTGGATCCTTGGAAGAGTTGTTGGGTGGTCGTGATTCCGTTGAGATCCTTGGAATTGCCTTTGGGATCCTTGGAGTTGCCATTGGGATGGTCCAAGGTTCCACTGGAATCCTTGGTGGTTCCATTGGATTCCTTGGAATTGCTGTTGGGGTCCTTGGAAGCGCCATTGGGATGGTCCTGGTTCCGTTGGGATCCTTGGGAATGTCTGTGGGATATTTGGTGGCTCCATTTGATTCCTTGGAATTGCCATTGGGATTCTCCAAGATTCCACTGGAATCTTTGGTGGTTCCATTGAATTCCTTGGAGGAACCCTTGGGATCCTTGGAAGAGTTGTTGGGATGGTCGTGGTTCCATTGGGATCCTTGGGAATGTCTTTGGTTTATTTGGTGGTTCCACTGGGATTCTTCGTTGTTCCACTGGATTCCTTGGAATTGCCATTGGGATCCTTGGAAGCGCCAATGGGATCCTTGGAATTGCCATTGGAATACTCCAAGGTTCCACTGGAATCCTTGGTGGTTCCATCGGGTTCGTTGGAATTGCCGTCGGGATCCTTGGAAGCGCCATTGGGATGCTCGTGGTTCCTTTGGGATCCTTGGGAATGTCTTTGGGATATTTGGTGGTTCCACTGGGATTCTCGGTGGCTCCATTGGAACCCTTGATGGTTCCACTGGGATCCTTGGAATCACCCTTGGGATCCTTGGAATTGCCTTTGGAATCCTTGGAGGTGCCATCGGCATGGTCATGGTTCCTTTGGGATCCTTGGGAACGTCTTTGGGATATTTGGTGGCTCCATTGGAACCCTTGATGGTTCCATTGGGATCCTTGGAATTGCCGTGGGGGTCCTTGGTGGTTCCACTGGAATCCTTGGAATCGCCCTTGGGATCCTTGGAAGCGCCGTTGGGATGGTCATGGCTCCGTTGGGATCCTTGGGAATGTCTTTGGAATATTTGGTCGCTCCATTTGATTCCTTGGAATTGCCATTGGGACGCTTCAAGTTTCCACTGGAATCTTTGATGGTTCCATTGAATTCCTTGGAAGAGCCCTTGGGATCCTTGGAATTGCCTTTGGAATCCTTGGAAGCGCCGTCGGGATGGTCATGGTTACATTGAGATCCTTGGGAATGTCTTTGGGATATTTGGTGGTTCCACTGGATTCCTTGGAATTGCCGAAGGGACGCGCCATGATTCCATTGGAATCCTTGGAAGCGCCGTTGGGATGGTCACGGTTCCACTGGGATCCTTGGGAATGTCTTTGGGATATTTGGTGGTTCCATTGGGATCCTTGGTGGTTCCACTGGATTCCTTGGAAGAGCCAATGGGGATCCTTGGAATTGCTACTGGAATCCTTGGAAGCACCACTGGAATCCTTGGTGGTTCCATCGGATTCCTTGGAATTGCCCTTGGGATCCTCCGTGGTTCCCCCGGCATTCCCGGCGGTTCCGTTGGGATTCCCGGCGGCCCCCGGAATTCCCGGAATTCCCGTTCCTCCGCAGTGCGGCAGTTCCTGGAGAGCGGGATCAGCCCCGACCTGTGCAACGAGGACGGGCTGACGGCGCTGCACCAGGTATTCCCAGAATTCCCGGGATTCCCGGGATTCCCGGAGCTCCGGAGCCGGGTCCTTCCCGGGATCCCGGAGGATCCGGGTCCTTTCTATGCCGTGAACTGATTCTGATATCCCGGATTTGGGGCTTTTCCATCCCAGCTCCATCCATTGATCCCCGATCCCGGTGATCCCAAATCCAGGCATTTCCCATCCCAGATCCCGGTCATCCCAAATCCAGGTGTTTTCCCATCCCAGCTCCATCCATTGATCCCAAATCCCGGTGATCCCAAATCCAGGTGATTTCCATCCCAGCTCCATCCATTGATTCCAGATCCCGGTGATCCCAAATTCAGGCCCTTCCCATCCCAAATCCCAGTGATCCCAGATCCAGGCCCTTCCCATCCCAAATCCCAGTGATCCCAAATCCAGGCCCTTCCCATCCCAGATCCCAGTGATCCCAAATCCAGCCCTTCCCATCCCAAATCCCAGTGATCCCAGATCCAGGCCCTTCCAATCCCAGATCCCGGTGATCCCAAATCCAGGTGATTTCCATCCCAGCTCCGTCCATTGATCCCAAATCCCAGTGATCCCAAATCCAGGCCCTTCCCATCCCAAATCCCAGTGATCCCAAATCCAGGCCCTTCCCATCCCAGATCCTGGTGATCCCAAATCCAGGCCCTTCCCATCCCAAATCCCAGTGATCCCAAATCCAGGCCCTTCCCATCCCAGATCCCGGTGATCCCAACTCCAGCCCTTCCCATCCCATCAACTGCTGATCCTCACCCAGATTTCCCAATCCGCCTCTTTTCCGTATCCCGTTCCTGGTGATCCCGAATCCTTCCTTATCCCAGTAACGCCAAATCTTTCCCGTCCCCGTTCCAGATCCTCCCTTCCCCTCTCCTCCCGCTGATCCCAAATCCCGGGATCCCATTTCCCACACCCTTCCCATCCCATTAACCTCCAACAGCCCTGCACCATCAATCCCACCCCGTTCCCGTTCCCAATCCCGCTGTTCCTAATCCCATTCCCATTCCCAATCCCAGCATTCCCACCAATCCCATTCCCAATCCCATTCCCAATCCCATTCCCACCATTCCCAGAGCTGCACTGACAGCTCTGTTCCACTGGTCCGGCTGCTCCTGGACCATGAAATCCCATTATTCCCATTCCCATCATTCCCATTATTCCCATTCCCATCTCAATCCCATTATTCCCATTCCCATTCCCATTCCCACCATTCCCACCATTCCCAGAGCTGCATCGACGACTCCCTCCCTCTGGCACGGCTGCTGCTGGACCATGAAATCCCAATCCCATTATTCCCAATCCCAATCCCATAATTCCACCATTCCCAATCCCATTCCCATCATTCCCAATCCCAATCCCCTCACCATCATTCCCAGAGCTGCATCGATGACTCGCTCCCTCTGGCACGGCTGCTGCTGGACCATGAAATCCCAATCCCATTATTCCCA